TATACTATATATATATATATATATATATATATATATATTATTATTATTATATATATATATATATATATATATATATATATATATATATATATATATATATATATATATATATATATGTGCTAAACTGTAATTTAAAGATATGGCAACCAAAGTCACCAACAGAGTGAATAAATAATTATTATTAAATCGATTTTAAATTAAAGAACCGGTCGGTGACGTTTGTCCTCCCGTCACCGCGAGTAACCAAAGCGAGCACAGCCGTAGAGCGACAAAAAATGCCTCGTGATTCACGCTCATGGTTTGGTTCGTAATTGTACGGGACTCCAGGGGTTCATTAACAACTCGTCTTTGTTTACAACTACCCGTGCATTTGTACGCATACTTGTCTTTGTGCGAGCATCTTTTTAACCGTCGATGTTGACCACGCGTTCGCATCGGACCCGTTCATCAGCATCGCTGAACCATCCCCACAGCTTACTGATCCGCATAAAGAGTTCATGTGCGGTGGCATCCCATGGATGCATCCATCATGGATTTGGGTGTCCGATGATGATCATGATGGATGTCAGGATGCCCATATCCTCTACTGTGCATCATGTACATGAGAAGAAGCGGCAGCAGCTGTTGACTCCACAAGGAGAGAAGAAGAAGAGAGAGAGAGAGAGAGAGAGAGAGAGGAGGCAGGCTGATGTCAAGGACTTAATCGTATCCAATAAATGCTTGACGTCCATAAGGGCACGAGTAGATCTCCTCCTCCCGTCTCTCGCCGTCGACCGCTCGTTAAAGAAGCGATCGGAATCGAAGTCGAACGGTGTGTAATCGTATTTGAACGCCAGCCCTAACTCCATAAACGGGTTGTAGCTGTAGGAGCTCAATAAGAGGTGGAGATTTGGCTTCAGCTCTGGGGTTTCTCCGTCGATCTTGCAGGGGGAGGATTGGAATGATGTAAGTTCGTCGCGTTTGTTCTTTCTTGCTTGTTTTTCCTTTGGATTCTTTGAGAAGTCTGGCTCCTTGGGTGTCCGAGACGCCTGAGTCAAGGTCTGTGGACAACAGCGTGGGTTTGGATTTGTGCTGGAGTTGTTGGTACTGGTGTCGGGACGCCTTTGGTGTCGGAGTCGGTGCTGCGTTTCTACTTCAGGTTCCAACGAGCCAAAGTGGAGAAGATCGGTGTGAGAAGAGGGCTAGTTGATTAAATATCGGATTTTTCAACTTCTTTAAGGGTCTTTGGTTTCCGTTCGTGACGAAAGATCTAATTTTTTTTTTTTCGCATCTGAACCAGTAGTGGTTTCTGTGGCTTTCTGTGGTTCCGGAAGCGAGAGCAAGTGGGTTCGAGGAAGGATTTCTTTATTCCAGGAATGTTTCATTTGCTTGAGAGTTTGATGGAAGGTCTCTGTAGTCTGTGGGGAAATAAAGCCCTTTGCTTTGGTTTTGTTTCCACTGCTGGAACCGCGCATCTTGCTCTGAGTTTGAATGAAAAGGTTTCGTTCCTTGCTGCTATCGGTATTGATCTATAGTGTGGAATCTGTGGAACCATGTTGATCTAAGCAGAGTTTCAGTGTTAGCTGCTGTTTTTTTACATTTTCGGGAAAAAAATGGTGCCATCAGGTTCTTCGACTCCCATTGGTGGGTCTCAATCAGTTAACCCCTCCCTTCTGAGGTCGAATTCGGGCTTGCTTGGAGGGCAGCCTGGTTCGATACCATCGCAGCCACCTTTTTCTTCTCTGGTCTCGCCTCGCACCCAGTTTAACAGTAACAGCTTGCTTGGAAACATATCCAATTTTTCACCTCTCAACAATTCATTTGGAAATGGAGGGCCTAGTGGTGCGCTTTCTGCATCGCCAATGAATCTCCAACAGCGAGGTGGTCTTGGTGGTGCGGTTGGTATGGTCGGCTCTGCCGAGTCCAATCCTCTGTCGTTCACCTCTTCGCTGGGTCAAAGCCAAGGTCAACAACAATGCTTCCAGAACCCTTCAAACAGTCAGCTTGGGCCAGATCAACTACAGTCTCGAATTGATGCAGTGCAGAATTTCCAACAGCAGTTTTCAATTCCTCAAAATCAGCAGCAGCAGCAGCAACAGCTGCTTCGGGGAGGATTGAGTAATATAGGACACATGGGGCCTGTTAAGATGGAGCCGCAAATGGGGCCTGTTAAGTTGGAGCCGCAAATGGGTCCTAACGATCAGATTGGTCCATCACAGCAATTACAAACGTTACGTGCCATTGGTACGGTAAAAATGGAGTCACAGCAGTTGCAATCCTTAAGAAGCTTGGGCCCTGTTAAAATGGAAGCTCAACATTCAGATCCTTCATTATTTCTGCAACATCAGCAACAACAGCAGCAGCAGCAGCAGCAGATTTTGCAGTTATCAAGGCAAAATAGTCAGGTTGCAGCTGCCCAGATGAGTCTCTTGCAGCACCAGAGAAAGTTGCTAATGCAGCAGCAGCAGCAGCAGCAGCAGCAGCAACAACAACAACAACAACAACAACAACAACAACAACAACAACAACAGCAGATAGTTAAGACCCTCCCTCAACAAAGAAACCAGTTGCAACAGCAGCTTCTCCAGCATCATCTTCTGGGTAGACCTCCAGTGAAATCTACAATTTATGAGCCTGGGATGTGTGCTCGGAGGTTAACCCAGTATATGTACCACCAGCAGCATCGACCACAGGTAAAATTTCCAGTAGCCTTTGTCAATCCTGAGTGAAGGACACCAGATTCTTGATAAGTTCTTTGAGTCGGCTCGTCTTATGTTCTATACCTAAAATGCAGGATAACAACATAGAATTTTGGAGAAAATTTGTGGCCGAGTACTTTGCTCCTAATGCTAAGAAGAGGTGGTGTGTTTCTCTGTGTGGAAGTGGTCGTCAAACTACTGGTGTTCTTCCACAGGTACAATTTGCCGCCAATTAGGATATGGAATGAAATCTTTTGGCTACATGATTTCTGTTTTCTAATTGTTTATATATAGTTTTGGGAATTTGGTCGTGGTTACTTTAAGTGGGAGTACAAACTTCTCTTGCTTCGAGTATCTTCAATTTGTTTTACTATTTTTGCATCTATTCTTCAACCAAGATAGATTTTGCCTGAATCTGTAGGATGTGTGGCACTGCGAGATATGCAACCATAAGCCTGGACGTGGTTTTGGTATGTAACCGATCATGATTGTCTGATTTGGTTTTATTGGCTAGATAGAATAAACATAACGCTAATTGAATAATATGCTACTTATGTCTTGAAGCTCTACTTCGAGGGATTGTAAAGTTATTCTTCTTTTTCTTTGGTTTATAGAAACTACTGTTGAGGTTTTCCCAAGGCTCTTCCAAATCAAATATGCCAGTGGCACCCTAGAGGAACTCCTATATATTGATATGCCCCGTGAGTATCAGAATGCTTCAGGTCAAATTGTCTTGGATTATGCAAAGGCAATTCAAGAGAGTGTCTTTGAGCAATTACGTGTGGTGCGTGATGGCCAACTACGGATTGTTTTTAATCCTGATCTAAAGGTGAATATATATTTGTGCATTGTTATTTATGCACACTGGACACTTTGCTGAAAATCATCGTGTGATTGCTGTAAGTAATTATTCATTTTCTTTTTTATTCTTCAATTAGATTTCTTCTTGGGAGTTCTGTGCTAGGCGCCATGAGGAGCTTATTCCTCGGAGGGTTATCATTCCTCAGGTACAGTGTTACCATTTATAAATTTTAGCTTGCGTAAATGACGATTGTTATTTGTTGGAACTTGTTTGCATATTGCTGCCGGCTTCCGTGAAATGTCTAATTCGATGATTTTTCTGGGGCAGGTTAGTCAACTTAGTGCTGTTGTTCAGAGGTATCAGGCAGCAGCTCAAAATGCATCATCAGGCTTATCAACACAAGATTTACAAAACACTTGTAACTCGTAAGTCCATTGCTCTTATTTCGTGCTTAAAGTGTCTCTTTTGCTGTCTTTCAGTTAATTGCTATGTCTGTTTCGCATATTAGGACACTGTATCTCTTAGGAAATATATTTATCTGGGAGCTAACTGTTTTAAGTTTTAACTATTCACATTAGCAAAAGCATGTGCTTACATGTGTATGCCATCAAAAATTTATACTAGAAAACATAAATTTGGATAGTACCATATGCATTTACACACAGATTTAGTTTCTTGTTGATTAATTTCCTTTTCTTCAATGAAATTTATCTGTGACTGCTTGTCTGGTACTACATGATTCCACTTTCCAAGAACACCATAATGTCTTGCTATTCGGGTGTATTTTCGCATGTGATTGTCACTGCCAGATGGTTCTTGTTGTTTTAATGGCACTCCACTTGGCTTCATTGTTACACCATTCAATCTTTAGGTAATAATAGTGCATTGCTTTTGGACATGTATGTCTCAAATGCTATCATCAATGATAGTATGCATGCTTCATGGGATTGGGATGGGACAGCTATTATAAAAAAAACACTACGCAAGTTCTATGATTTAAACCGGTTACCTAGGTTGTAAGGGAAGAACCTTATTATGGCATCAAAGCTTGCCGCTTTTTTATTATGAAAATAAGTACCATATAATACAAATGCATTATTATGATGAATAATAATTATATTTTCCTCCATGTAGACAAATAGCAATCCTGCCCATGTGTGAAAATAACAATGGGCACAATTACCAATTCATCATGGGGGTGAAGTGTTGAGTTATTCAAATATATGTTAAAATATACATTCCATGATAAAAGCACTAAGGTGGATTTAGGAATCATCTTCATTCTCCCACGATATCCTTATTTTCTTTGGATGTATCCTCTCCCTGCACTTTCTCTCTATGGTCTGGCTGAGACTTGTGGCAAATATGAATATTGGCTTTCGGTGGTGAACACAATGACATGGACACTACCTCCTTCATTTTGCAGTCACAGTTAGAAAATTGTTCCATCTTTTCTCTTCCAACCTTCTTCTTTGCTTTCCCTGTTACGGTAGCCATATGTGGCAATTGTCAATTTCCTGTTGCGTCTTTTTTATTTTATTTTGAGGTTGACAAATTTTCTGCAACTGACCAGAATCGACGTCTCAACCAATTTCTGGTGATTTGGCTGCTGAATCTGTTGAAGACATTTCAATGTGGTTTAACATGGTACTATGAAGTATGAACATCAGTCATTGGTTGGATGCATATAGACACAAGGCATGGATAGGAGACATGAGGCGTGACACCATAAGGTTGCCCTGGCATAGCTAATCTTAGAGTGGGAGTAGGCATTATATGAATATGATAGTTATCCCCATACACCTTTTACATATTATTTATGGTTTTATATATGATATATTTTATTTGAGATGGACTCATAATCACGTTATTGTAAAAACTAAAAAGCATAACAATCATTCATGAGTATACTTCAAACAGGTCTGCAAAATAGGAGCTCCAAGTTCTTAATTTGTTGAAAGACCAAAGTCCATTCATATCACCATCTTATGTGGATCATTCAAGAAGTATGTGTAAATGGTACACGATCTAATATGATTTGTGGAATTTGACATACAAGGGAAGAATCCAACATAATAATATAGACACCACATGCATTTTGAATTATCTACTCTTGTAGATTGAAATTAACCTTTTAGACTCTTTTTCATTATTTGTCATGAAAGCCTCTTATTTGATTGCTGAATCGAATGTATGATTATTTCAACATTAAATTCATTTTCGTTTAGAGGCTAGCTTACTATGGAGGAATTTAGCTAATGAGACACATTATAAACCTTAGGGAAAAAGTGATTGAAGAAAGAATAAGACGTGAAACAAGATTTATGAGAATCAATTTGGCTTTATCCCTAGAAGATCAACCATTAAAGCTATTTATTTAGTGAGGAAAATAGTGGAGAAATATATTAAGAAAAGGGCATCAGTGCACAAGGCCCCACCATTGCAGTGTCTCCTAGGTCTAAATCTCTAAATCTAGAGAGGCTGGTTCCATGACGTGAATCTTGGTCTCCCAAAGATTTGCATGACTTAAAAGAAGACATATGATAATGTTCTTAGACAAACATATGATTGAATACCTAAATAGTTTTGTAGTTGTTTTAGAAATGAAATGGATATCTTAGTTATTTCATTTATGTGGCAAAGATACGTATGATATGATAATGTAATCACTATGTTAGGACTATAGGATTATATGTAAATTATAAAATTGCTTGGACTGCATGCCATGGGGCAACTTTGCAGGGCTAGATATGCAAAAGATGGGTATACTGTAAAATGTAATTTTTTTCGTGAACTACATCATATAAGGCAACTTTGCATGGTTAGATATGCAAAAGAACTTATTGGTAAGTTTGACAGTTCTAAAGTCTCTACCTGGATGGTCTGCAGTAGCTATTACACCTTAATTGTCTATAAATGTGTTTTATGGGAAGCTTTGGATTAGCATGGTTGTGGCATTGGATACTGGAGGACATTTTTCTCTTTTTCTGGAAAACCATATTAAATTAATAAAATAATATGCTTCTCATTCTGACAACCACAAAGAAAGTTATGAAACTTGATATGGCTGCAAACCAGGAAAATAGTTCCTGCGAAGTAGAAGTAACAGACCTTTGATCTGAAAGGAGAATAAGGTGTAGAAATACATGTTCACTTGGGACATGCAAGCCAGTAGTTGCTATGAAATTGCATATGTCTAACGTTTAATAGTCATCCAGGCAATAGAATGTCTCTGGACTGCTTTTAGTTGAGTATATCTCAACCTTTTTGTGTATGAATTCACACAGACTATTGAGATCTTTAACTTAAATACAAGAAGTAGATGTCTTCTTAAAATTTGTTCTTGTCAAATCTAGGTCTCCAGGTTGCAGGTGCATGTAACATGTATATATGCATTTTATCTGTGCCTTTGTACCTGTGAGACTGTGGGTGCATTATCTACCATGATAATTTCATGTTGAGTAAACTGTTGAATTTCTTAATTATATAATCATATTTCTCTTTTATAAGTTTAAATTTATAGTACTTGTATGTTGCATGTAAAATTTGGGGTAGGTTTGTAGCATCCACTCGCCAAATGGCTAAAGCTCTGGAAGTGCCTTTGGTAAATGATTTAGGGTATACAAAAAGATACGTTCGTTGCCTTCAGGTATACCGCTTTGCTATTTTTATTTTTTGAATATCTTTGAAGATTTTCATTAGTGATACTATAATGCTGTTTGCTGTGCCAGTTGGCTTCCAGAATGTTGTTTATCATGGCTTTTAATTGTGGTGACTGTTTTATTATATCTGACCTGTTTGGATTTGTGATTTGTTCTTCACCTGTCTAATGGTTGTTTTGGCTTAAGAAATTTCTCAGACTCCTTGGTAACCATAGGTCATGTGATTTGAAGATGACTTTTCAAAAGTTTGTGCCATCAGATGTCTAATTTGTTCTTGATATGTTCCATAGGGCATTTTACAATATTAGAAGTTCTGTAGAATAGACTAGAAACAAAGTTTTTTTAAAAAAATAAATTATGCAATCTGTGTGCTCCTACTAGAATTTATCTTTGTGCTTATTCTGAGATTGAAACAGAAAATGTCTTATTGAAGAACAAAATTGTTGTCTTTAGAGTAGTACACTTGAAGAGAAAAAAAAACCATAACATTATAGACAAGCTACGCAGATGCTATGACGATAGTCTGTTCTAGAGTAGCAAACATGGAGAAAATTTTGACTTTGATTGGTGTAGTTGAGCCACATTATTGCTATGAAGATATATAATGAATTTTAGTTCTTTCTTTGCACTTGTATGGAGTAGGTGGATGCATATCGGCTATTTTCCTTATCTAAACTCTGTAGGTTTGCATCACCAAGACCAGGAATTAAGGTTCACAAATATGATAAAAGGGATCTTTGTCCAAGAAACAAATCCAAGTGACAATATAGTCATCCTTTTGTGTCTTAGAGGTGCTGCTTTGTGGAACAAACTTCATGATCTCCTGTTGTGTTTTGTTCAAGGATTGCAGTTATGGTTACCTCACCCGTGTAAGTCTATGGTTGTAAAAGTATGGGTTTGGTCACCACATACAGTACACTGGAACATACTGTCATGGACTTAAGCTGGTTTTGCCTAAGTCGTGCGGCACCATTGCGTGTCCGTCCGCAAAGGTCAGCCTCTCCGAAACCTCCCATGGTCCCTTAGGACCTACAAAAGAGAAAACGCCTCACTCGGGATCCACAAGCAAACATTTCAGAAAACATTTCATAGTCAATGCAAATTACAAACAAACTTTACAAACTCTGAACGGCTGTACAACAAAGGGTCAAAATGGTCCACTACAGACCAAATATCTTTCACAAGTGTCCACATGACACAACCTTTATTTACAAGCCTAAAACGACCACCAAACCTAACTAAAATGAGGTTGTTAAGGCTTCGACCATCCCTCTATATGCTGTGCAAAGTATGAACATACCAAAAGACACGGACATACATAAGCATTATATCAAACATCCTGTTTAGAAGTTTGTCCGTGACAATACGACACTACTATTGGGGGAGGGAGAGGAGAGGAAGAAAGAAGAGAAACAAGGAAGAAAAGGAGGAAGAGGATATGTACCGGAATATATATATATATATATATATATATATATATATATATTCCTGGTTTTGAGCTAGGTCAGTGGTCAGACCAGTAAATGCAGCAAACCAGCAGGTTTAGCAAACCATGATTTTGCTGCATCTCTGTTTCTGATAAATAAAACAGGAGACCGTGAAAGTCCTTTGCCTGGTAAGTTGGAAATTCAAGAAAGATGAGTTAGCATAATTGTCAGACGTTTTCATTATCAAACACTTGGAGAATTGGACACTTCACTGCAATTGTGACATTGATCATTCCAATATATGGAGATACCATCACTGAATTTGAAATTTTTGACCCTGTTTATGCAATTTTTATGTGACAGAAGCTTCGGCTTTTCTGCTTTTCTTATACAACTATAAAGTAAATGCTTGTTGCTTGTGAGCTGGAAAAATAAAAAAAGTGACCAACATACTATTTTCTTCTTAATCAAATTAGTTACCTTATGGCACTTGAAACTTGAAAGCAAGGATTTAAGTCTAGATCCGATACTGGTTCTGGTAATATACCGGACTTGTATGGTACCAGCTACCCAGGGGTATATTGATCAGCACTGCTTGGTATCATTTAAAAAAACAATAAAAAGCAAACAAGTACTGGACGATATGGTCCAACTGGTCCTTGGTCAGTCTGGTGCTTCAAGGTAAGTTTTCAAGCAGTCATGCCTTTTTTTCAGAAGGCTATTTGTTGTACTTTAAGTTTGTAGTTTAAGACAAGGATAAGCTTTGCGATCAAATTGATGTGTTATTGCTAAAGAAACATTAGCATGATGAAATGGTGAATATTTTTCTTATGAATGTGATTCTTGTTCATGATAAGAGGTGCTCTTTTACAATGAAACTAATGTATGTTACGTTGGTATAGCTTCCTCCATATATTGGTGTCCAAACTTCTGTGAATCTAACATACTAGGGACACTCTGCACATGTTTTTATGCATTTTGTTTTCTTACCTGAAATAACATGTTTTTTTTTCTTGCAATGTTTTCTTAATATTTACAATTTTGCTTGTATAGTGGACATCTGGACATCTGTATGAGAGACAATATCTAATACCCTCGGTTGCAGACACCTTAATTCTCCCTTTTTCCCTTACTGATTGTATTTTGTTACTGATTGCTTTACTTTGGTCGGTGATAGATATCTGAAGTGGTTAACAGTATGAAGGATTTGATTGATTATAGCAAGGAAACTCAAGCTGGACCTGTGGGTAAGTACTTTCTTGTTTTGGTTTCTTCTTCATGTCTGGCACAATATTACACTGCATAATGTTCAGTTTCTAGAGTTACTGGTTCAATATTTTCATGCTCTCTCTACAATGTGATATATGCTTTGGATGCATAGAGATTACAGTTAGTGCAGTTAGTCCAGTACTCCAATTCCTCCTGTTCTGAGGATGCCTCGAGTAAGCATAAGAGCGAGATAGATAGGTAACTGCTATTGTACACTGATCCTGATTCCAGACAACCAATTGGATCACAATCAGCCTATGTTATCATATTTTGGCTGATTTCTTGGTTTTTCTCTTGATAACTTGCGGAGTCATCGGAAATTGGTCGGAATCAGCCTTTCTCGACCAATTTGGATGATCTCAATTATCGACGAGCAAATATGAAAAAAAAAATTCTTCACATATTTATTCCTGCAAAGTCTGGCTAGTGCATATTTGGCCCCTGTGATTCTAATTTAGCAATATATGCCTATAAAGTTTAGATTTTTCCACATATTCCCCCTGTCAGCATCTGTCCAGTTAACCCATGTTACCAGAGTTAACCATGGTAGTCAGTGGTGGGTTAAGCTAAAAAGAGAGGCCAAAATAGAAAGACTAAACTACCCTTGCCAAGAGATTCATGGGACCTCATGACTTAAGGTGAAGTCATGGGATACTTGTTATTTCCTTTTTAGATATTTTTGGTATTTGTAATTGTGGATTATAATACTGATTAATATTAGATACATAATAGCTTGTAGAATACACAATAAATTCAAATTATGATACCTGTAAATTCCAATCATTAATTATCTTTTTGGTCTTGACCCAATCCCTGCTATCTGATTTGGTCATTCCTGCCTATTGCACTTTCATACCCGAAGGAAGTCTTGATTTTTGTGATGTTCTAATGCTCCTTGATTTGCAATAATGTCTTTGGATAGTTTCAAGATAGTAGGAAGTGATACTCACAGTTTCGGAGTTACAAATCATGCATCTGGAGTTTTTAACTTATTTGAACTTCTGTGGTTCAGCTAGCCTGAGTAACTTTCCTCGGAGGACTTCATCAGGGCTTCAACCCCGACAACCTGAGCAACAGCAATCGATCACTCAGAACTCGGACCATAATAATCAAAGCTCTGTACATGCCACCAGTGTACTGCTTTCTGCTGGCTGCAATAATGTCGATGGAGATAACTCTCTTAATGCTGCTTCATCTACCCATGCAGCTACCATTATTGGCACCCTCCAACCAAATTCCACAAATACCAGGCAAGAAAACCAAATGAATACAGCGAACAGCCCTTATGGTGGAAACAATGTTCAAATTCCATCTGCCAGCTCATCCAGTTCATTAGCTCCATCCCAGCCCAACCCTTCTTCCACTTTTTCTTCTTTGAAACCTGCTTCTAGTAACAACCCAACACCGACCTCTCATAATGCTACTCACTTGAGCTCCTCATGTTCACCTGCAAGTTTGTCTGCCATGCAACAGCCAACAGCACAGCTACACGAAATGGATCCAAACGATCCCCAGAGCTCTGTCCAGCAAATTTTGCAGGAGTTAATGATGTCTTCACAATTGAATGGTGTCAGTTCGTTGGGAAATGATATGAAGATGATTAATGGGATCACACCAACATTGAATGGGGGAAACTGCTTAGTTGGAAATGGGATATCCAACAATTCAGCTATGAGCGGCACAGGCTTTGCAGGTGCAGGTGGGATTGGTCTATCTGTTGCTGCTAGCGGGATGCGAGCAGCAATTGCAAATAGTGCAATGACCATGAATGGGAGGGTTGGAATGAATTACCTTTCCCAAGATCCAATAGCTATGAACCACCAACAGCAAGATATTGGAAACCGACTGTTGGACAAGTTAGGAGCAGTTAACGGCTTCGACAATCTTCAATTTGATTGGAAGCCCTCTCCGTAGAAGTGAAACAGAGAGTGGCAATCAGCAAATTGAGATTTTTTTTTTTTACGTTGGGCAAGAGTGGTTTGGGCAATTGATGAAATGGTCAGACTGCACATCACCAAATGTTCCTGTTCTTGTCCCGCGCTTTTGGAAGCCTTGCAACTAATTTCTCCAAAGGATAACACATAATAGCTTCTTTTCCTAGTTCTCGTTTCATTTACATGTCTTCTAACTGTTATATGTAATGCTGCATATTGTGTATCATGCCTTCAAGGCACATCTACCCTATCAATGGATTCCCTGGGGGGAAAGCTTCTTGGTATTGCTTGTAGTCATTTGTCTATTCTTAAAGAGGAAATATATGATGGCTTTGATAAGGAGTGATGACTCTCATCCTCTTCTCAAGGATTTGTATATAACTATAATGACACAGCTATTTCTATTTTGGCAATGATGAAAATTAGAATTTGCTAGATCCATTGTTGTCACCCACAAATAATTGGGTGTCACTGCAAGTGCTCATCTCATCCAGTATGATGAGGTGTTGGATAATGGCTGAAGTTTGTTGGAGGATGATCTCTGCTCCTAGTGGAAGGTTGGGATTTCTGAGCTTTGTTGACATGTGTCTGAAAATGACTTGTGCACCAATTGTGGTCTTTGATGAGCTGAGAGGCCTTGTGGTGTATGTTGCATGTTGTGGTCTTGAACATGCTGCATTTTTTCCAAGGTCATATAGGCCACAAAACACAGGGGTATGTTGCATGTTACCTGCTGGTAGCTCTTAAAGAGACCCATGTATTGTTTAAGTATGTACAAGAATGTTACACAGATGGGATTATATACTGCTTTTTTGTCAAATGTATTGTTTAATAGTCATCTATAGTTTTGGGCATTTATGTTATTGTAGAAATGGTGTTTTTTTTTTTTTGGTTTTTGGGAGGTACCTCTTTTTCATATTTTCTCCTAAGACACCTCTCTGATAAACAATTGGGTACATTCTATGGATTGGTTCATCAAATTTTCAGAATTTTTTTTTTCTTTTTTTAAAAGGATTCTTTATAATCTTTTTTTTTATAAAGCTTCTTTTTCTTTAATTAACAGAAGAGATTTTGAAATAAATGAATCTTATACGTATTAATATTTTTAGATATGAAAGTTATGATGATTCGAAACACTGTGACATCCACTTTTCACACGCATGCACGCACTCTCTCTTTGACCTCACCACTCCATCGTGCACTGCGTACACCTCTTTTCCTTTGCCTTTTTCCCATCTCCTTTTCTTCTTCTCTCGTCCCTCCTCCATCCTTCTTTTCCTCCACCATCTCCTCTCCTTCCTCGTTCCTTCAGCTTCCTCCATAGCCGCTTACTCTTCTTCTCTTTTTTACTCTCTGAAACACCAAGTACTTATCAATATATGGTGACCCGATCAAATTCGAACAGTACCACTATGTACTACTGATCCGAGACATGAGCAATAACCAATACCTTGTCTTTTTTACCCTAGGAAGACTGACTGGTGGTAGAACAAGACACGCACAAGAGTGGAGTAGAAGGAGAAGAAACAAAAAGAAGATACCTTCAGCCATAAGCAGACACAGGACAAAGGATTACAGCCTCTCTGAATTATACTTGTTGGATTCTTGTTTTCTGCTATTTATCTGTACATCAGTTTCTTGGATGCATGATCTATCGAATGGAAGAAGCTATGAGCTGCAGCAGCTGAGATTAGTCTTGGGCTCAGCAGAATGGAGTTCGCCCGGAGGAAGAAGCTTTCGGGATCAAGAAGAGCTTCTTCAACGCCTTCAGCATCGAGAAGGTCAAGCTCCCCCGCCTGCGACGACCCACGTGGCCGCTCTTCTTCTTCTTCTCGTTCAACACCCGCAAGCAGCAGAACTCGACGTTGTCCCCACGGCAGGGCGACCGGCGCAGTAGTTCCTCCTGGTTGAAGTCCTCCCACAGCACGTCCATCCGCTCCTCTGCAACAGGACGCCGGCCGACGGTCCTCGGGGCTTCTTCCGCGGACGAGAAGCTTCTCCGGCAGCCACAGGCGGCCGTCTTCTCGCCGGAGGGAATTAACCGAAGAGGGGAGGAGGCAGCGAAGTGGGGGAATGGGAATCGGCAGAGGGAGTCCATGTCGGCGGCAATGGTGGGGAAGCTGAACTCGTCCATCCCCCGGTGCCGTCTACTGTTTCGACCACTACCCAGCAGGAGAAGTAGAAGGAAGGAGGTGATGGACGTGATGGGCGTTGGAATGTCCCGTCCGCCGCAATGTGCGGAGGCACCAACGCACGCACCTGCGTATAGTGACACGACTAACAGTGCGCGGGACCCGCAGGGCGTGACCATTTCTGACATCCTTTGTCTGAGAAAATTTTTAATTCAAATATAAAATAAAATATACACAAAAAAAGAAATTATATATATATATATATATATATAATATTATTTTTCCTGACCTTTTTTTTTGTTTTAATATATTTTGGTGTAGGTGTTCGTTGAGACACCAGCTAATAGTGTGGGGGATACCCATCATGTGTGGTCTCTTACGAAACCAAAGTTGTCGGGTGTCAAGCACATGCCTCACATTGGTGTATAT